GTTTTTGTTTGAGTAGCTTTCGCTCCTCATCATAATCGGAGCTCGCTGGAATCAGTCTTCTTACGTCAATCAGTTCTGATGAGGTGGTAGAGATTCAATGGCTCTTACTTACTTTCGGTTTTAGGCTTTTAACAGCTTTCACAGCTGTGTCTACGGCTAACTGAATGTTGTGTCAGCCAGGCTACCCCAGAGGAAGTCATGCTGTCGACCTCAGACACTCGTTTCGCTATTTCTTTCTTGAATAGAGACTCAGTGTCTCGATCTAGCTGGGGTCGTTACCTTTTCGAAGATGATCACCGTTGTCGGTTCGTCAGCAGGGAACCCCATACGTACCACCTACGTACTTCTCGGTCTGGCACAACTTCCTTCCCTACTTGGGCACTGAAGTCGCCTGCTAAAACAACTATATCTGAACGTTTTGCTTTTTGCAGCAAATTAGACAGTTTCAGGTAGAAGTCATCTTTAGTTAATCCAAACTGCAGTCTGTTGGGGCTTAAGCGGAGACAACGAAAAGGCAACGACAGGTAGTGCCATCGTTCCTTCTTTTAACGGACCCATTCAGACGAACCGTGCACATACGACTATCTACTGGGATCCAGTCAAGAAGTGATTTTTCACCCTAACACTCAGTGCTATCCCTGCACCTTCGAGTCCTCGTGACCTAGCTGAGGGGTCTCCTGACACCCTTGAAGTGAATTTCGCAGTTTCACCTTGTTGACCCGTAAGGTTAAATGAATGACCACACTCGGGTCTTGTATGCGTGTGTGCCTGGCTGCAGATGCCAGAGTTGTTGATAGTGATGCTTGTTGTCCGATTTGTCAGAGGGTCCTGACTTTATATGCTCCTATATGAAGTTGGCGATGTGGCTTTGAAAGGCTATCTGGGGTGTTTCTATGGCTCTCACCGTTGTTTGTGGTCACAGAGTGAAGTGAAGATGACTCACTAGCCTGCAGAATAGTACTAACTGTAGTAGAAAAGCAAGATGAGAAAGGTGGTGTGAGTAAAGGAGAATGATTCTCAGGAAGGCTTCGTATGCTTTTGGAAGTGTGTGGGCGGCTGTTACTTCCCGGCTGCCCACATCGTGGAAGTTGATTGATTCTTTGGTTACCTGAAACAGTGAGAAGGTTAGTGTTGCGTGACCGCAGAGCCCAGGGGACAACTGCTTGAGCCAGGCCGGTCACACACGGCCTGTATGAACTGGTTTCTGGGATTGGTTCCGTATTAGTAAACTTACCGCCGGTTACGGACCACCGTAGGGTAAGTCGGGATGTACAATTTCTGGGGTCTATCTTTTCTAACCCCCTCTCAAGAGTGGAGAGACAGCATAGCTGGCTAGCATGCTGGTCACCTGACGGAGACACCTCACTGCTGTTACACCCCTGTTCCCCAGCACTGCGACTTCGCACTCACACCCCCAGCATAATGTAAGAAAGATTCCTACACAATGCCTGTAACTGCTTTTAGTCTAATCGCTATCCTAACAACCTTCCTGGCATGGCAGGACCTGCAGGAACAATATTTTCGGCCAGTGCAACGTTTTGGGTCATCGTGATGTGCAAGCCCGACCACCACGTCAAAGCAGCAACTTTCGGTTGGGTAACGATGGAGGAATAAAAGGGGTATTCAAATCCACAAACTCCCCCTTATGGAGCCAATCAAACAAAACAATTTAGTTTATCTAATATCCTGCCTGCAATGATTGTCAGGTCAAATACATAGGTCAAAGTAGTAGAACAGGGTTAGTCAGAGTATCGGGCCATAAAAATCTAGATTAGTTGACCCAAATACGATAAGAAATCGGGAGAATAGTTCAGCAGCTATAGGACTCACTACATGCAATATCACACAACCATACATTAGGATGATGGGATAAGGCGACAGTTTTAAAATCTATTACAACTAACAGGGTGGTGGGGGGGGAAATGGATAACGAAAGCTTTATTTATCGAACCAACTGCAAACACGTGTAGTAGGAATGATTTCCAGTCGGGCATCTGGAAAATTCTGCTACCCCTACGACGACAAATAGGAAAGAATGAAAAAAACCATAAAACTCAAGCTTCGAAGTTGTGTGATTCATTAGTGATGCTATGATTATGAACAATAATGAATTTGTTGTCATCCAGTAAGTGATAATACTGTTTCACTGACTGTGTGGTATATCTAATTAACAAATTAAAATGAAATAAATATAAAATTTGGGCACTGTGGTAGAGTATAACTCAATTATATATAAGATTTCATTTTGATAAACCACACAGTGTTTGTTATACAGTAATATTAACTGATGACGGCGTTTCGAAACGTCAAAAACAAAATTAAAGCTAAATGACATACTACCACATTGGCGAGGTTTTACGCATATATTGTCCTTTCCCGTGTTATGCAAATATTTCCCTTCGCATCTTTCCTACTGTATAAATGAGTACTGATGTTTGAATGTGGGATACACAGTGGGCTATTGCTTTTTTGATTATAAATACCTTGGGAAAGTAGCTCGCTTGTGGTGTATGGTGGGCGTTACACGTTGAGTAATAGTGTGATTAAATACCGAGTTCCAAAAGACGAAGGATAGTATATTGAAATATTTTTCGATCACAGTGTTGTTTATTTCTAGGCACCGCAAATTTTAGAGTGCTGTGTAACCTTGGCTAGAACTACTATGGAGAGAAGATAGAGTTGATTAGAAAGAAAGACCCAGCACCAATGTCTACACTCTTCTCCCGTCAGGTTTTACCATATAATTTGCTGATATGTTAATGTCTACCAGCCTGATAGGAATCTTCCATGATGTGTAGATGCGTTTACTCTGAGTGAGGATATGATTTACTGTCAACAACAACAAACCTATCACACTTTCACATCAGTATACTTGAACAGAGAGAAAAGGTAAACTGTAAACAAAAGCATGAAACCATAAATAAAGACTGGAATGAGATCGCACGCCTGACCATCCATCGCTCTAGAGGAATCCGAATGGGAAACAACGAGTGGGTGACAGATGGAAGAAATGAGAGATTATGGGTAATCGTTGGCATAGATGAAGACGACAGAAGAAAATAGAACAGAGTGGAGATGTGTTGTTGAAGCCCTATGTTTTATTTGGAACCAAAAGGGTAGTAATAATAACAATAATAGTAAAGACCGGAATTAAAACAGTATATGTATTTTGTTTTTATAGGGATAAGGTGAATAAACATTATCCAAATTAAAAATAAAAGTATTTTTTCTTCTCAAATTTGAATGTAATGTATTTGGGGGTGTATTATGCACCATAATACTGAGATTCATGCGCTATGTGTACACCTTGTACTATTGTGTGGCGTCGAAAATCGCACGCACACAAGATAAAGGCGATAAAAACACTAAAAGACCATTCCGCTTGTCTGTGATAAGGCTCATGAACGATGCATTAGGATTGTTTTTAGTTCGGATATGCTGATCATTTATAAACTGTCATACTTTTTAGCTGACATCTTGAGTAGTGAGTGAGTGGTGTATGCGTACAGTTTAAGATGTAATGTACTCAGGTTAATTTGAGGGACAATTCACTATTCCCTTACTAAGCATAATTTTTCACACATAAACATTCATTCATATCACGGCTACCTGAGGGAAGGACCTTGTGATATGTAGTCACATGATATCTGCTTTGTTTTGACAGTCTGATGCTTGCTATATTTGCTATGCATACACATGTATGCATATTGACCGATAGACACGACAACTCACAATATGCTTGTCTGTCCATTAACTAGATAAACAATGTGTGACCTTCAAATGAACCATCGTCAAGATTTGACGGATTAGTTCTAAAATATTTTACTTATGGTATGTATGACCTTTTTGTCATATGACATTACAACCAATCAGAATCCAATGTCAGGAAGAAAAACTACTTATTGGTTTATCTTATTGGCTCATGTGTATCTGTCATTCTCTTATATACTCTTTCACTGTACACTTTTACCCACTCTTTCATATCTTTCGTACACTGCGTACGTTTTCACTCACGCACACCTGTGTGACAGTCAATTTCCTTTGCTGGAAAATACGCGCATCATCGTGGACGTGGCGATCTTCTGATTTTTCCGTTTTCGCGTCAGGACAATTAACTACTCAGCAGTACATAACACCTTGTTAAGGTAAGTAGACCGAGATAGACTTATACTGTCACTTTGAAGTGATGTTCGATTTTGGAAGCAGTCAGAAGGAGAGGCTTGGGACGCTGAGGTTTTTGTGTACAATGACAATTTTAATTAAGAAATATCCACAAGCTAGAAGGAATTGATGTCCACCTTGGAGATTCGAATCGTTATCACCCAGTACTCGATTCAGAGATGTTACTGTGGAGTTGTTCAGTCTGCAGTTGAACTTTTTTTATTCCTTTGCGTTCCCAGTGGAACATATAGCTTCAAGCTAGAGCTTTGAAGTTTCGGTAGGAGTGGTTTTATTTTTACGGGGTGGGATACGTAGTCTAACGCCCAAGCTTTCCTTTTCAGGCTTATTTCCAGCTGAGTGAGGTTTGAGATTGCGTCGGTCGAGGATCGAAACCCGGACTACCTGAATGGCTGGTGAGCATTGTACCTCTGCGCCACCGACACACACAGTTTAGCTCTTGTAAGATTCTATTGAATATGTTGATTGATTGATTTTTGAGTAGTAAACGTTGTTATTCTATGGATCAGGTCTTCATATTTCGTAGCCACATTGCAGAACACCATAGTATCTGAAATTTGTTAAATTATTAACTTAGAACTCTGAACAAAATTAAACCTATTCTGGTTGTCACGTACGTCTTCTAAAAACACATATAAAAGAGGCAGGGGAAATAAAACTAATGAAACTATAGTAGAAGTAGTAGTATTCTATTTTTTTCTGCTTTTCATTTTCGTTAGATTAATCTTCTCCTATACAGTTCCACTTCATTTGCGTTGGGATAGTTTATTCCGTAATTGTGTCATTAACACTATGCACTTATTCAATTCTACTTCATCGTCATGTTTGACAGACTATGTGAAGAGTTTGACATCTGTAAGTTCATCATTAATAATGTATAAATAATTAACGGTTACTACTTTTGCATTTCTTCTTCTAATCATCCCTCTTTCAGTTATACTAAACACTTTTGTTTTGTTGTTATTGTAAGTAATATTATTGATGAATCAGAGAATGTCCATCTCATCTTGGTATATACCTTGTTTATGTATCACTCCACTTGTGTGTATAAAGTTTGCATTAAACTTTGACAAATCTAGATTATATTAAGTGTTCATTAGATTGTCATGTGAACGTATATATATACACGTAATTTTGAGTAACTGGAAATGAAATCATCTGAAGTTATCCGCGTCCTTTGTTTTTGAAAGTTTCATATCAATTTGGTTTCTTTTCAAGAACTAGTCTGTAGGGATTGTATTTGTTCCAGGTTAGACCAAGGATTGATATCAGTTAGAGAACCATTGAAAACCATCATGGATGCGTAACACATGTCCTAACCATCTCAGTCGATGTGACTTCCAGTCTCGTCGATTGATTTCCCCTCCTCCTTACCTAGCACTCACCTCAATATTGCACACCTATTTCATACGGGAGATAGAACGCAGACACCTATGATCAAAGACCGATTGTGTACAGTTAATTCCGCTTTCGTTTCGTTTTCAGATCAATCAGTTTATTTGAATTGGCTTGTGATTGTCCTACCGAATATGTATCCAACTTTATTTGGATTATTTAAAGCACAATACGCTATGCTGGATAAATCCTATTGGGTATACCGTCAAGCTTTACATTGTAAATCTTTGTGCTATATTCCTACCTTGAATTAGACAAGTAAGTGTAAACAAAAATGATCACAGTTTTTTTGAAGTATTACTTGTTTTTAATTCAGTTTTGGTTTTCTCGTTGATGATGATTTTTTGAACCTAAGTGTTCGGCTTCTAGCATGGAGGCTTCGTCGCCCAAGTGTTCTAGTGGATAACGATTTTGAGTTTGAAAGGATGGGTACACTGGGTTTGAGCCTCAGTGGGAACATCATCACTTACTGGGATTGCAGGTTAATCCAGGCGGCGAGTCCTGAAGTAGAGGATGAAGTACCCATCCTGGATTCAGCTGCTAGTCACCATCCACCAAATGACTCCTAAATGACTGTTTGCTAACTAGACAGACCAGTGTTGTTCACCCACAGTAATTTAACAGTATATGATCAGCCACCCGAATCCTGATTGAATCAAACTGATTTGCTGAGTGTGAACGTAGAACTTTGCACAGACGTCTTCCACTTGAGGCTGCCACATTGCATGTAGCACATAAAAGTAAAGGAAATAAAAACTAATCAAAAGAACCTTAGTGTAGGGATATATACAGGAGAAACATGAAGATTTCATTTATGTAGGATGAGTCTAGCTGTCAATCCACGTATGCAATTGGATATTTCTTCGCTAATTAGAGATTTCGTGGTCTAGTCACGTTTTGAGGCGTATGAGCATCATAGTTCCTTGTGTTTTATGTCCGTTCAGTCGCAGGCCTATACGTGTAGGAGCCAGAGCGGGATCGGAGTCTTTACGCAGGTGTTGTAGAAAGAGCGGTGGTCTTCTACCGACATCTTATAGGTAGCCACAGAACCTGTTTTAGTTCATCGTTGATTTTATGATGGAAGTCACTATATTAGACAAAGTCTTGCTATATTATATGTGAAGTTAGGGCGTACGAGTAACAGGTGATAATCGGAACCTGTAGAGTGGACAACCGCCATTATCAATTCTCGTCGGTATGGGACTCCAAAGGTACAGCCAATATACTTTTCTCATCTACATAGCTTCCTAACGTGAGTATTGAAATCACATGCTAAAATAACTATCTGAGTGTTTAGCCTTCACCAGCCAATTAGACAGTGTATGAGAGAACTCGTCATTTACTGAGTTCGGATTGCAGTCGGTTGTAGCGTGTGTGACGGTTATGAAATGACATCGACTTGCATCTCAATCTTTCCCTCTCATACTGAGAAGAAGATAACAGACGAAGGAAGCAAGATTTATCCTTTCAGGAAAACGAAACAAATTACTGAAAATTACAGATTTTCATTTAGTTATTTTACACGGCTGAAATTTTATAAGTTCACTTTATTGCAACTGTATTGTTGACTAGTTGACTACGTACCAATATAAATTTAATTACATGAAGTTTTGATATATATTAAGGCGAAATATTTTTTTCCTTAGCTTACTTGGAAAACGCCGACTAGTAGTAGAAGTAACAAAACCACTGAGTAATACCGTATTATTTATCTTGATAGTGATGCTTAGAGGACGGTTTGAGGGGGTGGGGTTAAACTATGTCACTACAAACGAACGAGCTCACCAACTCCCAGTTTCTCATAAAAGAGTCTTCGTGTTCACTATCGCGTTATATCAGGTGCTAAAGTTAAGGTTACCGTAGACTATATTCAATTAAAAGTTAGGGTCAACATTGATGGTTCACTGATAGAGAGCTTAGCAACAACCGCGCATGCCATCAGGATTCGATTCCTGGTCGAATTATTTCCGGACCTCTCTCAGCCGGTAGGTAAGTCTGACAAAGAGTGAAGTTTGGTAGTACACCAGTTATAATCATGAAGCATCGGCACAAAGTAGTAAACAGTGTAGTAGTGATGTGTGGGGCTTCATTAAAAAATATATCTATATATACATAATGCATCATATGACAGACACTTTCAAAGTGAGGAAAAAACTTGTGGAGAAATAAATAAAAATATCTGATCTTGTTCTCACTAAACAGTTCTGTCTGACCCCAGGAAACCTCCTTACTCCAAAAAGCGTCTGTCTGTCTGTTTTCGACATAGAACTTTGCACATATGTGCATCAGTCCAAGTCGCCACACTCCATGTGGCACACAAAGCAAGAGAAAAAAGTAAAAGCGAATGCAAAATAGAGACGGAAAACAGAGGTGTGTGACAAAGGAATAGTAATAACGAAGAACAGCATAGTTTCATTGGAAATCATGAGTCACAGGGAGTGGATGCGTCTGCGCCATGAGAACGATTTTGAGCGATATCACCAATTGTTTCCAGCCATTGGTGTTTACCGTCCCGAGGACCCAAACCAAGAAGTCTACACCTTCCTACGTGGCTGGCTGAAACTAACTGTTGTGGATTTCATTGACTGGTACCATGTTATGGTTTGACCACCGCTGGCTCTTTTCCAACCTGACCCTATATAAGCTAACATTGCCCTGCTCGTCGAAGAAGGTGATGGCTAGGCATGCATGCGTAACACATGTCCTTACTATCCCAGTCGATGTAGCTTCACAGCCTCGTCGATTGATTTCCCCTCCTCCTTACCTAGTACTCGACCGAAGCCTAACTTCAATATTGCTCACCTTATTATACCACTTCACAAGGGAGATAAAGCGCTGGCACCTATGCTCAAAGATAGCTAGCCAGCCTTTTCATGTCTTCCACTCTCAATGGCCAGGTCTCACAGACGGCCATAAGGGAGGACGGAGCGGACTGATGAGCAGTACACTCGCGCTTTGGTCGATATTCGGATATCTCGTCTACAGCAGAGACGGCGTAAACTGGCATATGCTAAACTAGCCCTCTGTATCCGTACTCAGCTCAGATTTTGTCAGCGATCAACCCGTTGGTGTAGGCTGATGCGACTTTCCAAATAAGTGAAGAGGTCAACGTGCTCTACCACCTCACTTCCTATTTCTAAACTAGGAGTCAGTGTAGACCAGTCCTGTAACATCTTACATTTGGCGGGAGCGAATCGCATGCTAAACATTCGTAGATTGCAGCTCAAGGTGTTCAGAAGACTCTGCTGTATTTTGTCAGCGTCGACGCCTATAGGGACTATATCGTCTGCATATTCTAAGTCAACGAGATTATTCCCTGGTAGCAAGTGAATCCCTGAGTCTCTGAAGTGAGTTAGGGTTAAGTCGATTAGTACATCTATGATGATTTGAATAGAAATGGGGATAATGGGCATCCCTGACGGACACCACTAGTCGTCACCACTTCAGATGACAACTCGCCGTAAGCCCTCACCTGGCTGATGGTATGAGTTCGAGTGGAGTGAATGCCTTGATCAGTTCAATGCATTTTCTCGGCATTCCCTTCACGGTCGAGCGTCTCCAGAGTTACCTCTCGGTCGACAGAACGAATCCCGCCTTCATATAGAGAAAAATGTAATGATTGTTGGACGCCGGTAGGAAAGCCTATGTTCTAGAATCTGTCGAAGGGTGAAGATATGATCAATAACCCTCTTTCTGGTCTAAAGCCTGCCTGGCTCTCTTGTGTGCGTTCCTTCCGAGCACCACTTAGTCTACTCGATATTATTGAGCCTAGGACTTTAGATACTAGATTAGTCAAGCTAATCCCTCTGTGATTATCACAGGAAGACTTGTCTCGCTTCTCGTATATGGGGATAATCAGTGATTTAATCCAACCCAATGGGACTTCCTCCGATTCTCAGATGCTGCCTAGTACCTCAGTTAATGCGTACAGTAAACTGTCTCCACCGTACTTAAATACCTCTGGAGTCATTCGATGAGGTCCTGCTGCTTTACATTGTTACAGATAGGTGAGAGCTTTAGTAACTTCAGTTAGGGACGGAGGACTTGTGTTGGATGTTCGGCAGGTTGAGCGTGGCTGTAGGCCAATTAAACTGCTCCTCATAGTGATCTTTCCAGCGTTCCCGTCACCTATCCTGGGAGCTAATTATGGTGCGATTTTTCTCAGAGATGATTGTTTCACATATCATTTGCCATCACTTACCACCTGTTTCCCTGATAAGCCTAAATAGTTGTCCTGTGTTACCACCAATCGCCGATGCCTTTTCCATCTCTTTCGCTTTTGTCGCCCACCACTGTTCACGGTCGTTTCGAAGACTTCTTGTTAGTTTTTGTTTGAGTAGCTTTCGCTCCTCATCATAATCGGAGCTCGCTGGAATCAGTCTTACGTCAATCAGTTTTGATGAGGTGGTAGAGATTCGAAAAGCATATAATGTCTTTATTTTTTTGAAGTTTTTCTTTCACCGGTAGTTTACCCTAGTCAAAATTTTGATCTCAAAATACCTATGTATATTCTAAATTTGTATCCTAATTATGTGGATTCCAGCAAGAGTATCCATACAAATAACTTATTGAATTTTCCTGATTTCTTTTTCCTCAAGGAACTTATGGCTGTGGCATCCTCCTTCAGTTTCTAACAAATCGACGGTAGGTAACATCTCTCTGTTCATATTGGCATACCGTACCTGACTGGGGTATTTCTAGCATTAGTTAGGCAGTTAATTTAAATCAACAATGTCGGCATCTATAAGTGTTTATTGATGTATGATGCGAAAGATTTATAGTTTAGGTGGATGTTTTTTGGTATTCTTGTATATGTGTTCTCTAGGTTGAATGGTTTAATATATGCCGAAACTTTCAGTTCACCTTTTGGATGACATCTTCGGTTCTACCTTCACTGTAAATTGTGCTTTGGCAGTTCTGTTTGGATGAAATATCCATCCTTCCTGATGACACTGACTGTAATTGGTTAATAATAAAGTTTTTTTTTCATAATGGTTTTACTTACACTTTTGTTGATATTTCTCATTTCGTTGACCCAATCGATATTCGACCATTTCACCTTTTTATTAATCGATAAAATTTATCAGTATTAACATGTCTATTTTATTTGTCGTAAATTGCTCTGACGACCAAGCTTCCAGGAAGACTCTGGCATTCTTCGCGTATTCACTTTTATGAATGCAGTGTAGTGCGATGGCTGAGGTCTGATTTTTCTAGGTTAGATAAAGGTAAAAATTTAGCTAAAGCTAGAATAATTGACCCTGCCTGTTAAGTTGAATAACGTAGAAAAAACAGCTCAGCCACTGCTGCACTGTCATCACTTGTATGTTGGTATCCACTTTGGCTCACATAAAGTTAATGTCCTTTCTTAGCTGAATTTCGTCTTGTCTTTTTCTGTTGTTGACTCTTTCAACTCACACTCTTTTCATTATATGATAACAACTTAAGAATAGCTGTGTTGGCTTTCATCATTGTCGTGGTAATCATCAGTGGAATTTGTGCTCTTCTTTAGATGACAGAGTCACTTCGAACTGATTGATTCGGCATGGATTTCTACTGGTTTTCAAAGACAGATTTATCCTCCTCACCACTTGACAGAATGGTTTAATAGTATTCATCTACGTACCATATAATATACGGCTGAGTCAGTCAATTTGCATGTACCTTGTTGTCCATAGTGCAGTTATGTTTGTCGGCGTCATATTATTTCTCATGTAGATATTTTTAAAAACAGATTGAAAAGTCTGATTTGTGTGTGCGTGTGTGTGGACTTCATTATTCTCCATAGTGATTTCGGTAAGTAAACAATGTCTGTTGCCTGTTAAAGAGAATATTCGTTGTAGAATAGATGGATACTGGTGCTTCTATGGTTGAACTGTAAATCTGTCGTTGCATGCATGCGTTTTCTCTTGTCCCTGGTAGACGGACCTTTATCTTCATATCATACTTGCTTATGATCCTCTTAATCTGTATCTGTAATCACTTCGGTGATAGTTTAAGCGAGCTATTAGTCAGTCTACAAAGTTTTCATACAGCTACACACTGACAACAATAAGACGACAGGTTGCTAAGCTGCTATTCAACACCTGCATAAGTAGGTTGATAAGTGAACTGGAATTTGAATTCGATCATTTTACAGTGTATTTGAATCTAGCCTAGTAACATTCTTTAGACTGTCAACATCTGTCTCTCCGGTACCATGAGTTTTTGTGCAATCAGTGTTACATTTAGTCTTAATACAAGCAGTTGCATATCTTACTAAGCTGCACTACATAGAAATCTTAGTCAGTTTGTGTACACAAGTAAACAGCACTGCCTTCCATTATAAACTATAACAAGCTAAAAATGACATAGTGAGGGAGAGGAGAAGATGTTATCGTGATTCTAAGGCTTCCATTTTGTCATCAGCGTCGTACGTATATATATATATATATATATATATATATATATATATATATATATATATATATATATTCACTCACTCACTAATATACAATTCGCTGTTATGTGATTATTTCTTTTTTTGTTTAGACACCATTATCCGAAGAACTTTCCGCCTTTCATCCAGCTGTAGATATTCTTCGTACGATTTGGTAAGTTCTGTGTGTGTCCTTTAGGGAAAACTTATCGCCTTCGGCTGACTGTCTCATGAACAGTGTCGAGAGGAGGGGACAGTTGCTGATGAAAGTATGTGGTGGTGGTGGTGGTAACCTGTTGGAAATGGTTTTGATGACGTATGCGCCAAATCTCTGAATCGTGTACTTCTGCACTCAGTGCCGAGTAATTGTTATTATTATTGTGTTTTTAGAGCGTTTAATTCAGTCGAAGTGTGTAATTAATATCCAGAAGATGAGAACAACAACAACAACTGGCACTATCGATGCTTAACAACAACTGGATTTTTCCTACCACACATTCCTGGCACATAATATACTCGATGTTTCTTGTAAGCGTCATTGTAAAAAACTTCGTCCGCTTTGTCAAAGAAAAGAATACTTGTTGTATGCAGATAGTGTGAATTTGTTTCTAGTTCACCTTAGTAGGTAAAAGAAGACATTCCGGTTCATTTTTTTCTTTCAGCACGTGTCTCTGATATTTCCACTTTACTTTATTTTTCGTCTATCACATTGCAGTCAAGTGATACTGTGTTATGTACTTGCCAGACAGACAGACAATTGTTGTACTGTTGTTGTTGTTTTGTAGTAAATTCAGTTTTTCATGTTGTTGTCGAAATTTTCCAGTTTATGTCTGTCGAAATGCATTTAGAACTAACCTTCTGTTGACCAGCAAGCTCTCTGTCTCTCTGTGTTCCTTGGTTTGCCACCTACCTTACTGGAACGAACACATTAGCAACAAATATTTCAAGTCTGAAGGATTTTCATACCGCTTTTGAGGGAGGTTCCATCCTGCTTCATTCATTCCATGCTGAAATCAATGACATTACCAGTACAGTAGACGTCCTGGCCACCTACTGACTTGCATAAAAAGCATCAGATCAGCGGCAGCTACACTGAAAAAAACTGCTTTTATTATATTGTCCTACTCTGTGTTAAGTGTGAATATTCATAATCGTATTGTAGTGTTTATATGTGTCTGTTTGTGTGTGACGCAACAGGCGTAAACCGAGTACTGTAACTGTTATTGACTTATTACATGGAGAGAGACAGAGAGATAGGTTTTTCAAACTCTTTCTAGTGACTACATGCATTCTGACGTTCCTAGATAAGGAATGCTGCAAGAGGACACTGGGGGTTGGTTACAATGATAATCTGACTATGAAACCAAAATGAATCGATCATATGAAATGTAAGTCACACTGTTTTTTTAACTATTGGATCAAGGTCACTTTAAGTAGTGGTGCGCTTTATTGATTGCCACTTGTCGTGTGACCCTAAGCTTGTGTACAGCCTGGCTCACACCTTTATTTTCGTACAAATAAAATATGCATGAAAGAATCTACGAGGTTGTGTGACAGTCTCAGATTATGGTGTTGAAATCGCTAATAGCCCATTTGTTTGTATTCGTGGCTGTTGTCAACGAAAATGCGAGTTATTTTTTTGTTTTATTGTTGTAACGTTAGGCCCCTTCTTTGTAGTGTATGTGTGCTTAGTTTTTTTCTTAAGTTCCATTACAGATAAGATTTTATTTTGATAAATCGCACAGTGTTTACAGTAATGTTTACTGATGGAAAATACTATTACCAATCAAATCAAGTGAAAATCAAGAGAAAAACAATGGAACTATATAAATGAATTTAGGAAGTCGTGTGATTACCTTGATATGATTATGAGCAATAAATTGTGCTCGAAACGTCATCAGTAAACATTACTGTAAACACTGTGCGATTTATCAAAATAAAATCTTATCTGTAATGGAATTTTTTTCTTAAGGTTTGATTACGAGTTAACATCAGTCAGACAATGATTGGAAAAGCTGGGACTACGGGACAACTGTTTCGTCCCACCTTAAGACTACTACTATTCATCTCAGTAGTGCGCACCCACTGGGGTTTAAACCCAGGACCTTTCGGTTACAACGAGAGTTCGTAAAGCATGTAGTGGGTAGTTATTGAAGGTAATGTGAAAACCTGGATTGGTATCCGGACACCCCATCTGCTTGTCCAGTTCATCATTTCACTACAATCACTTCGGTTTTTTGGATAATTTAGTTTCCTTTGGTGATATACAATTGTCTGAGTTGTGTAATATATTTGCGCAACACATTTCAAATAATTGGATCGCACACACACACAGGCATCCACCGATATACTTTACTTTACTTTACTTCGGCTATCTCCTACGGGAGGATGAGCCGGCTTCATGAACGTCTCGAATCATCGCTGCCCAGGCGCGGCGATCTGAAGCAAGGTTTTGTGATAGGGATATCCAATTCTTGTTCCACATACGGAGTCCGTAGACCGTTTGTAGCCCCAGGCACTCCATATCTGCCTTGACTGTACCAAGCCATGTCTTCAGCTGTCCGCCTCTGCGACATCGCCAAGATGGTAATGGCGAGGGATTTAGAACTGATTTGACCAGATCGTCATCTGGTCGGCGCAGAACATGGCCAAACCACCGAAGGCGGCGTTGTTGGACCAGTACTGGAATTTGGTTGATGTTGTAGCAACGCCGACGCACTTCTTCGTTGGAGAGTTTGTCCTGCCAACGAACATGCAGAATGTACCTGAGACACCAATGGTCTAATACCTCGAGTCTGCGTAAATCTTCCGCGCGAAGAGGCCAGGTTTCACAGCCATACAGCAGAACGGGTCGTATGGAAGCTTGGTAGATCCGAATTTTAGTCCTGAGACTGATTTCTCTCTTGCTCCATAGAACGCTCCTCAGCTGTAGAAACGCATTCCGGGCGTTGGAGATTCGCGCATTCACTTCGTTTTTCGCTTGGCCGTTGGGGAGCATTATGGATCCCAGATATCTGAAGGATGGCACAATTTCAATAGGTGCTCCATTTAAGGATAAGATTTCATCATTGCCGGTGGATGTGTTCGAAAACATTTTGGTTTTGGAAGTGTTAATTTTCAAACCGATAGTAGACGCGAGGTGGTTTATCTGGTCGAGCGCCTGTTGCATATCGGGGAAGTTTTCAGCTAACAGCACGACGTCGTCGGCGAATTCGAGGTCGGTTATGTGAATATCGGGCGAAAGTTGGACGCCGTGGTGCTCGGTTAGGGCGTGCCGCAAAATCCAATCAACTGTGAAATTGAACAGGATGGGGGATGCTGGACAACCTTGCCGGACACCGCTGGTTACCTCAAAAGTGCGGGACTCTTCACCGTTCACTCGGACTCGAGCTTTGGTGTTGGAGTAGTATGACCTGAGCAGGTTGATTAGCTTGGTCGGAACTCCGTCGAGCTCCATTAGATACCAGAGTGCTCCTCGATCAACTGAGTCGAATGCCGCTTGGAAGTCGATGAAGCAAGCAACCGTCGGCTGTTGGAATTTGTCCCTGTGTTCCAAAATTCTTCGCAGTGTGAATAATTGATCAACACAGCCTCTTCCAGGTCGAAATCCGGCTTGATTTGGCCTTGTTCGCACGTGGCGTTCGGCCGCGAAGCGGTTCAGGAGAATGGAAACAAAAACCTTAGCAGCGATATCAATCAGACTTATGCCTCGGTAGTTCTCGCATATTGACCTGTCTCCCTTTTTGTGGAACGGTAGCAGAACTGAGGTGCTCCAATCGGAAGGAATGGTTTCGGACTCCCAAATTGAGCAGAACAGCGAGTGCAGTGCATCGATTAGCGCTGGAGTGCAGGCCTTGTATATTTCTGGGGGTAGACCATCTTCGCCCGGAGCTTTTTTGTTTCTGAGTGTGTTAATTGTTTTAGCTATTTCGGTTGGAGTGGGTGGATCGCAGTCAACTACGTAGGGTGTTGGTAAGTGTCGTATCGGTCGATGAGACGGTTGACCAGCGTCGCGATTGAGTAGCTGCTTGAAGTATTCGGCCCATCGTTCCATCTTACCATTGGTGTCCGAAATAATTTCTCCTGATGCTGTGCGTAACACAGCATGACTGTTAAGGCGTTTGCCAGATGATTGGCGTAAGAGGCGATAAAGTTTTCCGAAATCGCCTACATTTGTTGCTGCTTCCATGTTAGTCGCCACGTTAGACCAATAGCGATTTCTGTCGTTCCTAGCAGACTGTGTAGCTTTGCGCCTGAGGGAGCGATAAACTGGAGACTTTGCTAGGCGAGCGTCTCTGGCTTGCGAGGATAGAAGCATGGTGTGCTCTGAAATCCAGTCTTTCTGCTTCTTGGATGTGGTACCCAAATGCGTCATTGAAGCTTTAGAGACTACTTCTTTGAAATGATTCCATCGTGTCTCGGGTGTATTAGAAGATGTGGATGTTGGTTCATCTGCGGTGCTTAGTTCGGCCTGGATTTGTTTGGACAAGGCTTGTCGTCTTGTAGAACATTGAAGCGGGGCAACATTGATACGCTTCGGAGGTCGCGTCTTCTGGCGTGTCGTTAAACGAAGTTTGAATTTCGCCCTAACTAGAGTATGGTCTGATCCCCCTTTATTTCCGGCCTCTGCTCCACGATAGGATCGACAGTCTTCCACCGAGGAGATCCAGCGTGAGCGCACTAGGATGTAGTCGATCTGATGTGCAGTGCGACCGTCGTTCGAATACCAGGTGAGAAGATGTTTTCTGGGGTGTTGAAATCGAGTGTTGGTGATATATAATCGATTGTAATCAGAAAAAGATAAAAGTCTATCACCATTACGGCAGCGCTGATCGAGACCGTGTTTGCCTAGTATATGTTTTGTCGCGTCGTCTGAAGGGCCAGTGCGGGCGTTCCAATCGCCGGCTACTATGAGAACGTCACGCTTTGGGATTTTGTTGATTGCCTCTTGAAGATTGTCATAAAATTCGTCTTTGATACTTTCATCAGAGTCGAGGGTTGGGGCATAGACAGCGAGAACAGAAATGTCGAGCGGGGAACCCTTGAACCTAGCGACTGCAACTCTGGAGTTGACCGGTTCGAATGATATTAGGGCATTATTGGCTTTGTTACTGAGAGCAAATGCTACCCCATGTTGTCCCGAATTATTCTGGGGGCCACTATGAAGCAACCAGAATGAAGAATCTGTTCCAGGAACGGCTATTCGGCGGGAGCCATGATCGGGTAACCTCACTTCAGATAGACACGCTATGTCTACCTTGTAGTCATATAAAGAACGCATGGTGATAGACTGGCTACCAGGATCCAACAGCGTCCTAACATTCCAGCAGCCAACAAATAGTTGGTTTCTAAGTGTTAATTTCCCAGCTAGCTTACTTTTCACACTGGCCACCGGGTGAGCACAGGGCGCGTCGCTTACCGGGAACGCCGTAGCATGGTGAGAGTTGTTTGTAGGAGAGTTCATGAAGTTTCTTGGGAATTTGGTACGAGTGATGTCCCCAGCATCGCTCGGCCTTTTGTTTGAGAGTGCAGCTCTAGCCTTTACACAGCCAAGTGTGACCTACAAGGCAGTAGGAGTGGAGTAAGGAGTCCACTATCCATTGGCAGCCGGTGACCGGAGTTCGGTTCATACGCCTTTTTGAATGGGGCCAGACATCCAGGACATCCAACAAGCCCTTTGTCCATACGTCTGCCGGTGAGCTCCAGTGAGCTTCATACGCCAATCGTTGGAGGTTTGGAATCAGGGTTTAGCCATCTCCCCTAGACTGTCATCCAATGGACAGTCAACCCGGTGGAGAGCGCCGGGCATCCGCTTTTGCCCTCTCACTTTAGTGAGAAACACCTCCGCCACGTGAAGGCAGTGAGTAGGACTTCCTCAGGAGAGGCTATGTAAGACGCACGGTCATATGGGAGCATTTCAAGAGGTGTGCGGAGGGGTGGCCAACCCGCAGCGCAAGACACCCACCCCCGACCATCCTGAGGCTTTGGATGGCATAATATATGGCATAATATGTGCATAATATAATGAAATGTTAACAGACGAGACACTGAACATAAGTCAAATTATAAGGTTATATTGAAGGTGAAAATAACAGCTAAGATTACCAAAGTTAAAAGATATTTGAAGATGGTAATGTATCGATTTTAGTTGTAAAACTGGATTGGATTTATCAAAGAAGGTTTAGTATGATGATAAATTGTTTGTGGACACGTAATACGGTGGCTGAAACTTCCTAAATTACTCAGGCTTCCACAGACTTTAAGTATATAACCCGTTTCCCCTCTGAAACAGGTTTGATAAATGATGGGTTAAAGAGAGAGAGGCGTACACATCTATTTTAAGGCATTTCTAAATGATGTGTCTCTCGATTTTTCGTCTGTTTCCACCATTAGTAGAATCCGACGAAGCTAGTTTGGCATATTTCCAGTGAACCGTGACATGTTCTGTTTGAATTTTCCTAAAAACGAGACTGTCCTATTACTCAAATTTGAGACATGCTTACACTAATATGAAAAGTACTTACATATTCTGCTTAGACAAGACTCCAATCAAATGTCTGTGAATACAAAAGTTTTCCAAATTTGCTTTCTTCAATCACCTGTTTTAACGCCTCTCGTTCAAAAAAGAAAATCATAAACCTTGTTCGTTTTCTTCTATAGAATTGAAGTTCAACTTAAACTGTTATGTTTCTCTTCTCACAGTGATAAAACTACTCCAACTGAAAAGCTTCTAATTACTTATCAGACATTTGCTACTGTGGATCAGGTAAGTTATTGCGTATTAACACCGTTTACTTTTCTTGTCAATTCTTTATGCATTCCTTCGCTTCATACTGATGATCAAATGGTTAGCCGACCAGAAAGCAACAAAAAACTCTGCAATTGAACAAACCAACCAAGAGCCAATCACCAAACAAATATGTAGGAGGAGATGGACGGGGCATACGTTGATGGGATCGTTGAATGACATCGCGCCCGAGGCTATCGCTTGAGTGGAATAGCAATAGGAAACGGCGGGTTGGTCGTCGCCGCGAGGGTGACATGGAGAAGATCGTTTGAGTTGTAGTAGGAGCAGATGAGAGATTATGGGCAATTGTGGGGTGGGGGTCAGCCAGTTGAAAAAGACAGCAGAAAATAGAACAAAGTGGAGATGTTTTGTTGAAGCCGTATGTTTCACTTGGGAGCCAAAGGAGTAATGATAATGTAATGCATTCCGAGTGGAATATTTGCGCTTCGGGTTTTGAAGATTCTGTAGCGGTGATGTTGTTGTCCTTTTACAACAGGATGGGATCGCTAGTCTTACGCCTAACCACCAGCCTTTTCTCTTTACCGGTGGTTAAGCGATGCTTGAGAATGTGTCCGTCGGTCGAGGGCTGAGTCCGGACCCCTTGTGTATATGTGTGTGTGTGTGTTGTTGACAAGCATTCTATCAATGTTCCTACGCTGTAGATGCCTATTAATTGTGTTTTTCCTTGGAACTAGAAAAATGCGCCGAATGTCTCTCTTATTCTCTAGTTTCAGAAATAAGTCAAAAGATAGACTGCATAGTGTCATACTCCTTAAAATCTGAATGTTAAGTCTCGTTTTTTGGATGTTTCCTTTTTCCAATAACATTCATGTCAATTCCTTTCTTGTTCAGAGCAGGATGACGTATTTCCAGTTGAAGCACGCACATACGCCGTGCGTAAAAGTAGCTACTAGCCAGCCAGCTGACCCTAAATTAGCTTGATTACATCAGATCCACTAACCACTCGTTACAGTTACATAAATAACTAATGCAGTCCTGTGTTTATTGTTAACTTTTTCCCTAGTTTATTTTCGTCCTATTACTCTTCAAATCTTTGTTTGAAACAGTCTTCCTATATATTTACCCTTTGTTTTCAACGAAAAGTTAATTAAAAAATATGGACTACAGAAGAACTTTGAGAATCAGGTAGGTCAAGTTTTTGTCTGTTTTGATTGTTGTTATTTGAGTTGATTGAATTCGTTGTCAACCTGTTTTACAATTTGTACTAACACTGTCTTCCTATCTTCCATCCAGTTTCACGTATTACTGGTTGGTTGGTTGGTTGGTTATGAGTGTACAAGTCAGCTAGTATAGAAACCGGCCTAGGATGGATTAATTCATTTAGTTGGAACATTCGTTCTTGGCGGGGGGTGGGGGTGGTGTATTCTTCAAAAGACAAACAAACAGATAGGAGTAGAGATTTGAATGTTTTGTCGTTGAGACTGGCATTCACACACACACACACACTAAGATACACTACTCTTATAATGGTAGATAAGTGAATCAATGAAGCACCTTGCACAGAATTCCATTGGTTCAAGTTGGCTGAATTTATCGAAACCACACAAAAATGAGGTCTTACTGTATGTATTGAACAAACATGGATATGAAGTAGGAAAAGAAATTAATTTTAATCAACTTTAGCTATTTATTTATTGAAGTTAGAAAATAGTAATAAGTGAATAATATTTGTGCTGTTATAAATAATCCTAATTTCTATAGTTAATTATTCTGATAATCACCTAGACACGCAACTGAAACGTGCCTACATAGCCGATTCTAAGTGTTCGAGGGTGGGGGTGGGTGATATCTTGAATTTGTACTATTCCTGTCTTCTCCGCTCCGCTCTGGTCTTGCTTGCTTTGCTCTTTGAAGAAGGCTTTGATTCGTCATTCTTTGCACATCTTCTAACCACTTCAGACTAAAGAGATTCAATCTTCGCTTAGAACTTGGGAGATATGACAAATATCGCTTGTCGGTGGGTACTTTTATGTATGAGGCAGGACCTGTCGGATAGTGAAGATTTGATCAACAATCTTCTGTAGGGAAGTTCTCTCAGCCTTGTTTTCTTTGATGAGCTCTTTATTTTTCATGCGAGTATTAATATCAAGGTGATGGATCATCTGTTTTTATCATGGTATTTAGTAACTAACCATCTACTTTTGGTTAATACTTATGTCTATGTGTAATGAATAACTCTGTATCAGCATTTGTAAACGCTTTCGAGGCTAAATTATCAGTGCCTCCTGCTTTAGCTGGTTTCAGATTAAAGACTGTCTTTACAACGCTCGTCAAAATCCATTTAATGTTGGATGGATTCAGTTATACGAAATTGAATGTTTGAATGGGTTGTTCTTAAAAGCTGTGGAAATATAGGCTTCAAAGATGTTGTTGTGTTTATCACTGGTTTTTCGTAGGGCGCATCTTGCTAATAAGCCTTAATAATTGGTGGATATTATCTAGTGTTGATGTGATGGGGGATGTCTTTTCGATTTCTTTCGTTTTCATCATCCACTCTTGTTAAAGGCCGTTAGCAAGATGTACAATCGATTTGTCTTTTTTGGCAATCATTCGCTCCTCTTCAAGTTGTCTGCCTGCCAAAGCGCTGTCTTCCTTCATATAGCCCAGTTTGAATAAAACTATGTAGAGAGAGAGAGAGAGAGAGGAAACTCCTTGATTTGGCTCCAAGTTCATTCAGGTTAAATGTGAATGTCGTCTGTTTCAAAGTGTTTTTTTTTCAACTCTTAGTAAATACTTGACCTCCAGTTAAAAGCAGCAAACATGCTTCTCGTTTATTATTTTGAGTCAGTGCAGCCTAATTTGAAATCGGAAGCGGTACACATGTTGATTCAAATGGAGTGAAAAACATCCTCAATAAGTGGTGTTTACTCATTAGAATCATCGAGGTTTTTAATCGTAGATTTAGGTGTGGCTGTACTCACATTAACTCTAATGTCTCTCTCTCTTCGTCTTTTAAGTTAATCCAAAGTGTGAGTGAACCAGTTGTCGTCCGAATGAAATTGCAACATACAACCAATATATCTTACATCCATTATTATTATTATTATTATTTTGAAGGCTAAATTGTTTCTTAATAATTATTAGCTAGTAAGTAGTTAGTTTCGTTAGCAGCGATCTTGGAAAGATTGGTTGGATGCTGTTTTTTTACAGTGTATCTTGAATCTTTGATATCGGTACTTTAGAGTTGACAGGACTGTAAGGAAACATTAATAGAGATGATCATCTCACATTGTGATTATTTTCCTGTGTTTATGGACCATATCATGTGTCGTCGTTGTTTCAGTAGTAGGCTGATGACTGATAACCACACACATGCTCCGGGTTCGACGCTCAACCGACACGCTACTAAACGTCATCCGGTTTAACACCTACAGAATCGGTAAGCCCGACACAGAGGGGAAGCTAAGCGAGATGGTGATATTGCTTGCTAGTGTACCATAGTGCACAAGTTCTATTCTTATATCAGAGGTGCTGGTAAACCTACTCCGTAAAATAACAACATCCCTGAAACTTCAAAAGCTTAAAGCCTTATACTTCACTTAGAACTCGATTTAAAATATGAATCTTGTCAGTAGACATGAAGAAGGAGAAGTCAAGAATGTCTGTCTTATAAAGTGTTTAGTAATTGGATAGTTAAGATTGTAACAATATTAATTATTTTTATTATTAATTGTATTTCGTTGACGCATAGATTCTTTCACTAGACGGTAAATTATAGTGTATTGCTTTTTGAAGTGAGATTTTAGTGGAATAATAACTATTGGTTAGTAGAAATGATTAAAAATTCCCATTATAATTTTTTCAAAAGAGTGGTGTTCCGATAGCTTGCTTTTCATCAGGTTCTATATACTTAATGGTGAATGAATTAGTGTTATTCATAACATTAATGTTGCTGTTTAAATAACATCGAATCAACAATAATAATAGTAATGATAATATCAGTGAATTACAGTTCAATAGCATCAACATAAAAATAAGCTTAATGTCAGAGATGTAAATTAGAAAAAATAATAATACAGATTCATGAGTTTATAGTCTCCACTGAAGGCCGGCTAGGGCATTCATTAGTAGTGGCTGGACTTACTTCTTCTGCAAACAGAGCACCAGTTGTTTTAGGAGAATCGATAGTGAAAGCCTGTGCTGTGTGGAGTATGCGGTACGTGGATGTTTTTGGTAATTCGTTTGGTACCCGATAGATGATGATGGAGAAGGATTCTTCAATGCTGGCTGACTTTGGGGCCAGCCGGTTTGGACCAGGTGGTGGTCTAATATTGGACCGTCGATGGTTTCCACTACACCTTTATTTAGCCATACTGGGGAGATGTTCTCGAGTGAGCACGAAAAATCAAGTGCCTAGAGGAACGGCCAATATAGCTCACTTCACCACAGTCTCAGTTGAATTGGTAGATACAATTGGAAGTGGCTAGCTGGTCTAGGTACTTCACTTCATCTTTCATTTAGGGAATGACTACTAGTTGTGTAGAAAATGAGACTTGTAGTCGGCCAGCATTAAAAGTTTTTTGAACTGATTTCTTTAACTTCTTCATAATCATTTCGCTAGGTATATGGCCCTTGAATTGCAGTCGTGTGCATAAATAAAGGCTTCTTGTTTACGGATAGTGAGTAGTGAGCAGTCCTTTTCCTCTATCTTAGTCATATGTTTCTTGATAAATTTTTCTGGATAGCTATTTTCAATTAAGGTTTCATGTAGAATCCTTAGTTGATCTTCAGTTGCCTCTTCTGAGCATGTATATATAGCTCTGACCCCCATGGCTGAGGATGTTTACTGAATTTCTTTTGTACTGGGAAGGAAAAAAGTTACGAAAATGTGTATATTGTCCGGTCGATGTGGTTTTCCTGTGTTGTGTTGTGCTGTGCTGTGCAAATTCCTCTTTATACTGCCCTACCATCTAGTTTTCTTGTCAGGAGGACATCTAGAAAGGTAGTTAATTGTGTTTTGGGATTCCTCTTCACATGTGGATTTCATAGCAGAATGTTGTACTTCATTGAATTTAGTTATTATTATTATTATTATTGTTATTGCTTTCGTGTCAATTGAATCACTGTTGTTTTTTTCTACGGTTGATTTTCATTTCAGTTAGAAAGTAGTGTGTGTTTTCTAGATTAGGTAGTGCTATCGTACAAACGACAGACACACTGTTCTGATGATCAGGAGATTTTCTGTTCGTATGTACTTCATGTACTTTTTTAACAAACAGTATGCACTTGACGCGTGTTGTTTACACGATTATTCTTATTTTGCTTTATTCTTCTCTCTTTTTTATTCTACCTACCCAATCACATGTGTGTGTGTGTAAGTGTTGGTTAACAACAACAACAACAGATTATCAGTAAAAGTAAGCCTTCCCGGAATCGTGTTCCAACATCTCTGGATGAGGTGGGCAACTGTAGAAATCCATCAATATGCTCAGTGGATACTTTGTCTCACTTGCCTGGACTTGATCAATTATTGCCGATTATTCAATTTGTTGTCATCCGGGCTGGTGTTATGTACCTGGGCGCTGAACTAGCGTATATTGGACAACTGGTGTAACAACAGAAGACAAGAGCCAGGCAACAGATCGTTTTATTATGAAAATCAACACGTATTTATACATATTTCACATACATTATCATAGCTTATGCAAGTAGACAAGCGCAGTCATCTGATTGGTTGTTTACAGAAGTTAGACAGACAAACGCAGGCTTCTGATTGGTTGTTTCGGGATTCCTCGACAAATAGGGTTCTCTATCTGCGAATCATATTTTGCCACGTTAACTTTGCTGTGATTGGTTGTTAAATCAGCCTTGTACTTATTTTCTCAAGGGCTGCTCTCACCACACTGGCACTGGAACGCTTATCGCTTACTGGTTGGTGGTGGTCTCCTCCCCTGTCTAATGATGACTACACTGCAAGTGTGTTATGATCCAATTCTTCGAGAAGGTTTACAATTCACAATTCAGTTTTGATGGCGATATCCTATTTTTTATATTTTAGTTTTTAGCTGTGTATGTGTGTGTTTTTCTTTCATTATTTCATGTTTATTTCATTGAAGATGATTTCTGCTAAGATTGTTTGTTTTTGAAACAGAGAAGTAACGTCTTGCTACAATAATAATCTTATGCATTTTTTCTCCTATTTACACTGACTTATTTTTGAGCAATGATCATTATTTTCCAAACTTACCAGTACATAAATGCAGAAATACGCACTCACGCAGACATACACAAGTTCCAACACCTGTCATTTCTTTTCATACATTTTTGTTGTATTTTTATTCTCGTCTTGCTGTTTCCCCCCCACCACCATCAACACCACCACCTTAATGATAACTACCGGGATTCTTTCAAATACTGTCTATTCCTACTGTTTGTATCATCACGACATTCTGTAATATTCCTCTGTGACTGTTTTCCATCATATTGGATACCTTCTTAAGACTTCAATTGTACTGTACTTAACAGTATTGTATTGTTTTGTACATTAAAGCTAGTGACTGGCTGTGATTGCTGCTTCTTAGTATCATTTTTGTTTATATAGTTTATATTATTTAACTATCTATCGTCTAGCTAGCTGTTCGTCACAATGAGAATCAAGTACTGTATCCACCATACCATTCCATACCATACAAGCAGGCATTGTTAAAAACCAATCTGAATAAACGTGATATTATTTAACAGAAACATTTGTTTTCTCCAACTCTGACAGAGTACCTACCTACCACCTGCCTGCCACATAGCATCGTGTTGAAGGTGACAAGAGATAGATACTAGTGCCAACTAATCCTTGCCAATCTGCTAGCTCATGATGCTGTTTGTTGTTGTCCATACCTGATGTTTCTTTTGTATCTATCTCTTAATGGTTGTTATTCACTCACTGTATTGCTTACCTCTTTTTGTTTTGTATCGTTATAGTGAAGGGGACTGACTGTCTTTGACACACAACTGTTGTTTGTACACTGAACTAATTTTGCGAGTCTTTAACAATTTCATATTTGTCCTCTACAAGAAAAAGAGTCTACAACGGTAGGTGACTACGAAATCCTCTTGTTTATGAGTATCTCGTTTTTGTTATTATCATAATTAGTAGTTGTCGTAGTACTTACTACTACTAATAGTATATTAGTAGTAGTATTAGTAATAACAGTAGACGAAAACGTTGGCTTTTACACACAGACTATAAGACCAAAATTACTCTGGTTCCTGAGCCTAAATAATTAATTAATGGGGGGGGACTCAAGTAGTAATCAGAATTGTGTGCACGTTTCTTGTTTCTTGAAAGTAAGAAAAATCAGCAAGCAGTTGGGAAACTTTGTTAGAGACAGACAGACAGACAGATGTAAACGCATTTATTCTTACATTTTTTCTCTAGTGTATTGAATGTATGTATTGAATTAAGTTGAGCAGACTCTTATCTTTCGGTACATTTTCAAACTTCATCACTTTTTTGTGACGATGCTCTGCATGGAGCCAGCCAGTCGACCAAGACTTCAACTGCCTGTTTCGATTCATTCAGCAGCCGTCCAACCTCTCCTGAACAACCTGGTACGGTACGACAGAGGGTGGGTCGGTTTTCCTCGCGAAATGCCTTCATGTAGCTATTCGTTCATTGTCTCAGCCATACCACCACTGCCTTCATGTGGCACGGGTGCTCTTCGCAAAAGTCAATGTAAGCGTCTGGTGCTTATAAACTGAATTGATGGACATTTTTAGGGGAGCTGGAAAACCCTGATTGAAAACCTATGGTGCACACGATCTGGTCTCCACAATCCGAATGTATCTGATGGCGTATCAGCTTGTTTTGGTTACTGGTAATCGTGGGAAGGTAGCTGCCCCACTTACTGCCTTGTAGACCAAGCTTTAAGTTAAAAGGCGGTGGGCGTCTGGCCTCTTAAGATAAGAACCACCTGCTTCGGTCTGGGCCTCCGGACAGTATCCCCCAGTGCATCTTTTGGTACCCATAAAGTAGCAAGCTTGTTTTAAATGAACGATAATTCAGTCAGGTGAGCATAACTATGCATTATAACTATCTGCGTAGTATAGGGAACCTATCTAACTAACTAACAAGAACACAATAAATATTTCAGTGTTTGAAAATTTCTTGGAATATCATTTGTTCTATGGATCTACGCATACCTCCAGTTCGAGCTGTTCGCATGGTTATTCATTGGTTTTCTCATTGGGATAATCTAGAACGTGAAATATTCCTGTCTACCTGGGATAACCTAGAGGAAATCGATCCCCACTTATCTACTGAACAACAAGCAACAATTGATTCATACGTTTGTAACTGTAATGAAGCAGCTACAATCGTTTGAATCAATTGTTGCTTGTTGTTCAGTAGATAAGTGGGGATCGATTTCCTCTAGGTTATCCCAGGTAGACAGGAATATTTCACGTTCTAGATTATCCCAATGAGAAAACCAATGAATAACCATGCGAACAGCTCGAACTGGAGGTATGCGTAGATCCATAGAACAAATGATATTCCAAGAAATTTTCGAACACTGAAATATTTATTGTGTTCTTGTTAGTTAGTTAGATAGGTTCCCTATACTACGCAGATAGTTATAATGCATAGTTATGCTCACCTGACTGAATTATCGTTCATTTAAAACAAGCTTGCTACTTTATGGGTACCAAAAGATGCACTGGGGGATACTGTCCGGAGGCCCAGACCGAAGCAGGTGGTTCTTATCTTAAGAGGCCAGACGCCCACCGCCTTTTAACTTAAAGCTTGGTCTACAAGGCAGTAAGTGGGGCAGCTACCTTCCCACGATTACCAGTAACCAAAACAAGCTGATACGCCATCAGATACATTCGGATTGTGGAGACCAGATCGTGTGCACCATAGGTTTTCAATCAGGGTTTTCCAGCTCCCCTAAAAATGTCCATCAATTCAGTTTATAAGCACCAGACGTTTACATTGACTTTTGCGAAGAGCACCCGTGCCACATGAAGGCAGTGGTGGTATGGCTGAGACAATGAACGAATAGCTACATGAAGGCATTTCGCGAGGAAAACCGACCCACCCTCTGTCGTACCGTACCAGGTTGTTCAGGAGAGGTTGGACGGCTGCTGAATGAATCGAAACAGGCAGTTGAAGTCTTGGTCGACTGGCTGGCTCCATGCAGAGCATCGTCACAAAAAAGTGATGAAGTTTGAAAATGTACCGAAAGATAAGAGTCTGCTCAACTTAATTCAATACATACATTCAATACACTAGAGAAAAAATGTAAGAATAAATGCGTTTACATCTGTCTGTCTGTCTGTCTCTAACAAAGTTTCCCAACTGCTTGCTGATTTTTCTTACTTTCAAGAAACAAGAAACGTGCACACAATTCTGATTACTACTTGAGTCCCCCCCCATTAATTAATTATTTAGGCTCAGGAACCAGAGTAATTTTGGTCTTATAGTCTGTGTGTAAAAGCCAACGTTTTCGTCTACTGTTATTACTAATACTACTACTAATATACTATTAGTAGTAGTAAGTACTACGACAACTACTAATTATGATAATAACAAAAACGAGATACTCATAAACAAGAGGATTTCGTAGTCACCTACCGTTGTAGACTCTTTTTCTTGTAGAGGACAAATATGAAATTGTTAAAGACTCGCAAAATTAGTTCAGTGTACAAACAACAGTTGTGTGTCAAAGACAGTCAGTCCCCTTCACTATAACGATACAAAACAAAAAGAGGTAAGCAATACAGTGAGTGAATAACAACCATTAAGAGATAGATACAAAAGAAACATCAGGTATGGACAACAACAAACAGCATCATGAGCTAGCAGATTGGCAAGGATTAGTTGGCACTAGTATCTATCTCTTGTCACCTTCAACACGATGCTATGTGGCAGGCAGGTGGTAGGTAGGTACTCTGTCAGAGTTGGAGAAAACAAATGTTTCTGTTAAATAATATCACGTTTATTCAGATTGGTTTTTAACAATGCCTGCTTGTATGGTATGGAATGGTATGGTGGATACAGTACTTGATTCTCATTGTGACGAACAGCTAGCTAGACGATAGATAGTTAAATAATATAAACTATATAAACAAAAATGATACTAAGAAGCAGCAATCACAGCCAGTCACTAGCTTTAATGTACAAAACAATACAATACTGTTAAGTACAGTACAATTGAAGTCTTAAGAAGGTATCCAATATGATGGAAAACAGTCACAGAGGAATATTACAGAATGTCGTGATGATACAAACAGTAGGAATAGACAGTATTTGAAAGAATCCCGGTAGTTATCGTTAAGGTGGTGACGGGGGGCGGGACAGAAATATGAGAATAGAATTACACCTTCTCACTTCTGACCTTTGGAGTTTGAGATCGCAACAACACCAAAATTTAAAAAGACTACTTAAGCTCAAACAAGAACTACATACTTTGAAATGTTATTATCTATTTTTCATTCTGCAAAAACCTGGTGCAAGTCTATAGCTCCAACTTTGATACTGTCATGTCAGCCGGATAGTTTTAGCTTGGTTCCTGTTTATCACTTTACCTTTATTGCGTCTATCGTAGCTGGACAGCTGATGACTTGAATTTATTTCTTGACTGATCAAGTCACATACTTTTCTTATTAGGAATTTCGGTTTTAAAACGAAATAGACTTGGTATCTCTGTTTCAACGTTAGGTATTAAGAATAATTCATTAAAAGTTCGTTGATTATTTATCCTAAAGGCGGTTAAAATTGTTACGGTCACATGATTCTATAAGAAAGTACACATCAGTAACAAGCGTTATTATCAAGTATGACTAGTATTTTCTCTCATTTTTAATTTTATTTTTTTCATATCTTTTATTATAGCTTGATTCCACACAGTATTTTTGGAAGAAGTATGGAATTTTCAGCATGTGATATCTGTAGCCCACAACTGAGCAGGTCGACCATTGATATCAGGTGTGCATCAGCCGGGAACGAACCCCGGACCATGTGGATGATCGGCAAGCGTCCTAACCGCTGTGACACAGGTGCACATTTTAGTGTAAGTTTAAATAATGCTAGATAATATTTCTCCAAAAATATGGGAAGGTGAATTTATGGTGAGATGATATCCAGATGCTACACAGGCAGGCAGTCCGGATTCTATTCTCCACCATCGCACTCCTAAACTTCACCCAACCAGGAGTAAGCGCAGAATAGAAGGATTTATACATTCCATCAACTATTTTTTTGTCATAATTCACATTATTATTGGAAAAAATCCATATATTTACAAGTGTACAGTACAAACTGATGATGAATTCGTTGGGAATAGACCCTTCACTGAATCACTTATTTTGATTTTCTATGTCCCAGTGAGAATTTCCACGGAATACCAGCTCAGCTCCAATAACTGGTGAATTTTTATGAGCCAAGTTTCATTGTCAAAACAAGCTTGTTAGTTAAGGAAAAACTAGTGAGATTTTAATAATTGTACCCTGAAAACACTTAGTTATCTTTTCAACATAATTCCTATAAATGAGACTTATTGAAAGTTAGTCCTAAAGTTCAAGTCACTTTAAAGGTCAATTCGTTGACTGACAATCTTTGTTTAAATTTGTTTTAATTTAGCATTTTGCTTTAGGGTCAAATCGAAATAGGTCATGACACAGAATAGGCATACGCCGCGATGAGTGAAAAACAGACAGGTGTGTCTGTGTCTTTGTTATCGGACCATGAATCATCTTCACTATAAAATTGCTTAGTCATACCACGAATTTATACATTTGCAAGTTTTTCAGGTTAAGGCCGCATATCCTTTTCCAGAATTCTAAATACTAGAACACGGATGGTTGTTCAATAAATTCGGGTTCATGTCACTGAAATTACATCAGTGTAAGTATGCTATCAATAAATAACAATAATAATAAACGCTTTATTCTAAACATTGATTTCATACATAGAATGGAATTTTTTCAGCACTTGAAACCTCAGCAAATTTGCTCCATTTACAAATGAAATCAGAAAAAACAAGCACGAGATTTTTAGAGTTTGTACTAATAATCTGAGGAACTGCCTTCAACTTATGTTTTATACGCCTCATTGTTTGTTGCAGTCCACTACCATATTTTCTTTTGAGATGATGGAGAGCATCAAAAGTGACAGGTTGAAATTTTTATCAAAATGATCACTGACTGACTGGTTTCAACGTAGAACTTTGCATCAGTAGCTCAGCGCTTAGGACTCTCGCCAAGCATGCACATGGTCCGGGTTTCAATCCCCAGCCGACGCACACCTGATATCTATGATCGGCCTGCAAAATTTGGGCTATCAATATCATATGCTGAAAACTCCATACTTATAAAAATACTGCGTGGTTTCAAACTATAATCAAAATTAAAATTAATTAAAAAATGTGCAGCATTTCTAGTCTCAACAACTTCACACACACAACGCACACAAAGCGAGAGAAGAAAGTAAAAAGACATTCAAAACAGAGATTATAAACAGAAATATGAGGCAAAAAGAATAGGAATATCGAAGAACTATATAGTTTTATTGGATATTATAAGTCACAAGGAGTGGATGCCTCTGCACTAGCCATTGAGAACGATTTTTGAGCCATATCGCCAATTGTTTCCAGCCATTGGTGTTTACCGTCCCGAGGACCCCAACTAGAAAGTCTACACCCTCCTACGTGGCTGGCTGAAACTAACTGTTGTGAATTTCATTGACTGATGAAGCCATGTTTTGGTTTGACCGCCGCTAGCTCTTTTCCAACCTGATCCATCCTATGTCAGCTAACATTTCCCGTCGAGGGAGGCGATGACTGGGCATACATAACACATGTCTTAAACATCTGACTCAATCGGTGTAACTCCACAACCTAGTCGATTGATTTCCCCTCCTTACCTAGCACTCGACCGATGCCTCACCTCAATATCGCTCACCTTATTATACTATTTCACACGGGAGATAGAACGCTGGCACCTATGATCAAAGACAGCTAGCTGGCCTTTTCATGTCTTCCACTCTCAATGGCCATGTCACACAGTCAGCCATTAAAGCAGGACAGAGCTGGCTGCTGAGCAGTACACACGCCCTTTGGTCGATAGTCAGCCGAATATGATGTCTACTTAGCCAGAGATGGCGTAAGTTGGCACGTATCAAACTAGCCTCCTGTATCCGTGCTGACATCTCGTCAGCGGTCCACCCGCTGGGACTGGCTGATGCAACTTCTCAAATAAGTGAAGTATTCGGCAGGCTCCACCAACCACTTCACGTCCTATTTCTAAACTGTAATCCAGTCAGTCGTGTAGCATCGTGTTACATTTGGCGGGAGCGTATCATATGCCAAACATTCACTGGTTGCAG